TGCAGATCTGTCCTCGCAGAGGAGGGAGAGCTTGTACCTGAATAAAGCTTGGCCTTAAAGGTGCCACTGGACTGTTTTGGACCGGGGGGCCAGGGTGGGGGCTCTGCAACTTACCTGGCTGCTTCTTGCTGTGACTGTGGGCTGCTGGGAGCGGGGGGGTGGGGCTTGTTGCATGTGCCCGCCCCCTGGGCTCTTTACTGCCGGAGCTCCGCTTCTGTGCGCTCCTGCCGGAAATGACCTCTGATCATAAATGATTCAATCATAATCATAAATGATTCAATAAAAACACAAAAAACAAACAAACAAACAATGCAGATGTATAACTTTCAGTTGTTTTTGACAGGAACAGCACTCAAACCCTACCTATCTTCAAAATACCCAGAGTCCCTAATGGATGCTCAGCCTGACCTCTTCTCCCACAGTGTTTAAACCACCAAATTCCTCTTTTTTTCCCCTTTTCAACATTCCATTCCACTTTCCACTTTCTGAAAGTGATTGACTGAGGCTCCTGCTCATCACAGTGTAATGTTTGGGGGGGGGGGTACACCTTGATGTGAATTGGGGCTGCAGTACTCTTCCCCATGCAATTACCCTGGTTTAAAATGCCCCTGCCCCACTTGCTTAGGCCCCGGTCACACGAGCGGGATAATTCGCAGGGGACGGGAGGCTTTTTGAGCCGGAGCAAAAAAGATGCGCGGCTCCATGCCCAAGCCTCTGGCAGCCGATCACACCACGTTAAGCAACACAGCAGCGAGGCGTTTGTGCGCATGCGTGGGATGCCGACAGGCGCTGGCTGCGACGGGCTACCACCGCTTCCTGATCAGACGCCCGCACGCGCCGCGCATTATCGGGAAACTAGTACATGGTTCCTGGTAGCTTTTAAATCCGCGTCTTCGGGCCGAAGCTGCGGGTTAGATATTGGAGTGCGATGTTTCTCAGATGTTCAGGTATGATCGCGCAGCTTTAATCTGCAGGCAAGCTGTCCCTCCCGCGGGACAAATTCACCATGTGATTAATAGAGTTTAAAGCAGCTGAGATGAAGTATTTTTTAATAAGGAAAAGCGCAAGGAGGAGGAGTCAGTTCCCTCTTTCCTGGCAACTGTCACAGTGGCCATTTTCCTTGTCAACCCTGCTTTTTATTCTGTTCAGGTTTTTCCCAAATGAACTAGGAGATGAAACCTTTGTTGACACCTTCAGGCTGGAGGAAGTGACTAAAAAGGATTTACGCACCGTCTTCGTCTGCCTGGCTAAAAACTCTGTTGGGGAATCGGTGGGGCAATTCAGACTGAAGAGGAGAAAGAAACCAGGTATCACTGGCAAATAACCTTCCATACTATTGGTCACATTTGGGATGACACTGCTCATCTGATAGCCTTCAAGAAAATTCAGTTTTCTAATTACCAAAGAGGGAAGAAAGAAGGCGTCATTCTCCTCCCAACCACAACATAAATCATGACAAAATGATCAAAGTGTTGGTCTGGGATCTGGGAGGCCCAGATTTGGATCTCCACTCTGCCATGGAAATTCACTAGATGACTTTGGGCATGTCATATTTGCATCTTAGCCTACCTTACAGGGTTGTTGTTGGTAGGATAGCACTGTATGTAGGACTGCCCTTGAAAAGTGTTTGGAAACTTCAGTAGGTACGAAAAGTTGCAGCCTGGACGATGTGTGGAGTCGCTCATAAGGATTGCATCATTTCAGTCTTGGCCCATCCGCACTGACTCACCATCTGTTTCCAGGCCAATCCAAGATCCTGTTGTTGACTTTTAAAGCCATGTATGGATTGGGACCAGCATACCTGAAGGACCTCTCATTCTCTTATGAATCATAGATCATGGTCATAGAGTTGCCAGATACCCTCGCTGCACTGGCGGAGGGATTTGGGAGCCGTTCCGGGATGTCACCAATGTGATAACATCACCTAGAAGTGACACCATTGTGTTGGCATCACACTGCGACCCTTTGGTTTAAGGGCAAAACTCAATGTTTTTAGGCCAAATTTGCCATAGAGTTTTGCCCTGAAACCAGAGTGTCGTGCGTGACATCCCCAATGTGATGATGTCACTTCTGGGTGATGTCATCATTTTGCGACATCACGCCCAGACATGGCTGTTCGGGGGTGGGGCTTCCCCAGCCAGCCAGCTCGCCGGCAGTTGGCAGAAGCCCTCAAAAGCAGAGGAAAACCCCACTGGAACCTGGGGACTGGCAACCCTATATGGTCATCTTCTGCAGCCTTGCTTTAAGTGCCCCTGCCTTCTGAAATTAGGTGAGTGGCAATGCAGGAGAGGGCCTTTGCGGTCATGGCACCAAAACTCTGGAACTGTCTCCCCAGAGAGATGCGCCAGTCCCCTTCTGTTGTCTTCTGCCAGTGGGTGAAGACTTTTTTGTTTCATCTGGTGATGCTGAGTGATGTCTCTTTCCTATCATCTGTTTTAATAGTTGTTTTTATGTTTTGTGGGTGTATTTTAATTTGGTTTTAATTGTTGTAGTATGTGTTTTTGTGTGTATATGAAGTGTAGTGGGTTAGACGCATGCAGAAACCACTAATACGGATGTAGTGATCAGCATGGTTTACTGGTACACAACAAAGACTACTGGCCGGCTGGCCAACTATATACACACCTGGGGACACTCCCCTAGGTCCCGTTGGTGGGTTTAAATCTCCCGCCACCGTCCTATTGGTTCCCCAGTGGAGAGACTAGTAGCCTAGTCCCCATTGTTCTTACAGAGTCAAGCTCAGGGGTATTCGCTGGCCACTGGTGCCGGTCAGCGGACATAACAGTATATGAGTAGGGTTGCCAACATCCAGATGGCGACCTCCTGGTTTTACAGTTGATCTCCATATGACCAAGATCAGTTTCCCCTGGAGAAAATGGCTGCTTTGGAGAGTGGACTCCCTTTCCCAAACCCCCCCCCCCCCCCGCCCCCCCCCCCCCAATCTCCAAATATTTCTGAACCCAGAGCTGGCAACACTATTTATAAGACGTGTGTTTATTATGGTTTTAACCTGTTAGCTGCCCTGGTGGCCTGCATGAGGGCAGAAAGGCAGGGGACACATTTTGTAAATCATGCAATACATGTTTTAAACGGGCATCTCCCAACTCCATGCCTTAGTTTCTCACAGCTCTTCTTGCCGTTCTTTTAGAGCTGCTGAAAAGTGCTCCTTTCCCCCCCTCCCCCCCTCTTTAGTCCCGCTCCTGCTCACTCTGTGTGGTGCCATTACTGCTCTGTTTGGACTGCTTTTGGGAGGTGTGCTTGCTTACCAACACTGGATCGAAATGGTGCTGCTGTGCCGAAATTACCTGGCCAAAGACGAAACTGTGGGTGGTAAGAACTTCAGAACTATCACATTTTATGTTTTGTGACGTTTTATCAATTGTCTTGGTCAGGGGTCTTGTTGTAGAAAAAGAGCTGCCGGAGCTCATTAGCATAACTCATTAGCATAACTTATTTGCATATGCCACGCCCCCTGACATCACCGGAAGTGACAGAAGGCCACACCCCCTGACATCACCGGAAGTGTGTCAGAAGGCCCGGCTACTTACCCTCCTGCTTCATCCTCATTCCCAAACGGAATGAGGATCGAAGCAGAGGGCGGGGTAAAGAAGGGGGCGGGGCTTCACCACGTGACCGCCCCGCCCCCTAGAGGTTCTCTTCCGGAGCTCCGTACCTGAGAGCTCCCCCCCGACTAGAGCCCTGGTCTTGGTTATTTTAAGAGTAGTCTTTTTACCTGTGAGCCAAAAGAAATTCTGCAATAAAATGTGCATAAAAAAGTTGTGCCATTCTATTATTCTAAGGAAAAGCTCATTCAAAAAGAACATTAATTGGAGATGGAAGGGGTACTAAACCCTCCGGTTTCTTTCCCAAACCATGTGGCTTCAGTTGTAGTGTGTGTGTGTGTGTGTGTGTGTGTGTGTTTAGGGGGATATGTTTAGAGTTCTTCAGATGGGAGTGGGCAGTAAAAGACAGGCACCTTTCTGAAACTGCTTTTCCAAATGGACATTGGTATTTTGGTACATGCATGTGACATATAACTTTGCCTTTAGTAGACCTGTTCTAATAAATACAATTCCTGTTAACGTGGCTGTGTAATTATAATGTTTCCTATTTTTAAAAAAATTGTTTTAAGTAGATTAAGTTGATGGTGGTCCCAATCAGACCCAGTTTTCAATCAGTACATCCAGAATTAGATGATACTAGCAGGGGAGCTGCAATAATCCGCAGAGGACATCTTACTGCATGCACTTTTCCTCTTTCCCCTCCTTGAAAGCTCCTATAGCCACTTTCCCCTGCTTCCTTCTCTCTTTTCCAGCCAACCTACCTTTATCTCCCCCACCTCCTGTGTTCCACTTTCCATCCTTTACTTCCCCTGGCAGCCTCTTTCAGGAAAAACTCTGTGCAGTGTTGGGGGGGGGGGAGTTGCTCTTTACCCTATATCTTTCTCTGCATGCTATTTTCTCTTTCCTTCTCCTGGCAGCCCCCGTATCTGCACTGCTTCATGCATAGGCTTGCCAAGTCCCCCTGGGGGGTGGGGAAACCCCCGCCCCAGAGGCCCGTTCCCTGCCGCCGCCGGATCGGGCCCCGGGGGAACCCCACCCCAACGTGCACGTCACCCGGAAGTGACGCGACTACGCCGGGCATGCTGGGGGCGGGGCCACGGTCATCCAAGGGAAAACTCTATGTTTTTCCCTCGGATGGTCGTGGCCCTGCCCCCAGCGTGCCCGGGTCACTTCCGAGTGACGAGGATGTGGCGCGCGCGCAAGCTCCAGCCACCAGCCGGGAATCCCCCGCTGCGGCGAAGATCGCACTTGGCAACCCTATTTATGCATCCTTCTCTCCTTCCTACTGACCCACCCACCCACCAGCTTTTTATCTGACTCCCCCATCTTCAGCTATATTTATTATTTACTTCATTTATACCTCAACTCTTCCCCCAGTGGGGACCTAAAGCACCTAGTAGCATTCACTGCTCCTCCATTTTATCCTCACAACAAACCTGTGAGGTATATTAGGCGGAGAATGTATAATTGGCTCAAGGTCATTCAGTGAGCTTCCATGCAGAATAGAGATTCAAACCTGGGTCTCCCAGATCCTAGTCCAAATCTCTAACCACTATACCACACTGGCTCACACTGGCTTTCATGGAGTGGGTGCTGCTGAGCAGTAGCAAGCAACCGGCCTGGGTGAGTTATGCAAGTCAGGAGACAGCAAGTAAGTCAATGGTTACGGATGGAAATGGCACCAATGAGTCTCCCCTTAAAGGTCAAAACAACCCCTAGAAAGGGCCCTTCTCCCGTCCCCTGCTGCCTCCACTGTGGTTACCTAGCAGTGGCGACTGAATGCATTCATTTCTTAAAGCTACAGGTGCTTGTTTCTATTATTTTTGGTTTAACTCCCCAATTTTTTTTTAAATGTAATTTTTTCCTGCAAACTTGAGGCTTTCCCCAGGATTTGTAGAAAGTTCGATCTTGTTTGCTCATGGCTTCAGTTTGTAGATTTAAGTATCCACAGATTGATTACAGGAAAACAGTATGCTTAGCTAACCATTAAAATCAATCTCTTATAGTAGTAATGGTATATTCAGTATGCAACTGGAAACATGTTTGCTTTGTGGAAGACCCTCAGAGATACTTATCTGTCCCCCTCTGTTGCTGTCTTCCACCAACTGATGAAGACTTCATTTGGCATTCTGAATCCTCCTTCCTGCCTGATGTTTTAATTGTTATTTTTATGTTTTTGTTTGTGTATTTTAGCTTTGGTTTTAATATGTTTATTGTTGTTGGTTTTAATGGTTTTTAAATGTGATTTTATTTTGTTGGGGTTTTGGTGTATTGGCCACTTTGATGGCTTTGATGAAGGCAGAAACGCAGGGTATAAATCTTGTTGATAAAATAAATAATCAGCGTAGTTGTTACCCTAGCAATATAATAGATCTAATGGGCAGCAGCAGATTCCCAGATGGGTTCTGTGCTCACTGTTCTCTAAGTCCCCCTGAGAACTGAAGGCTTGGTGGTGATGGAGATGACTGTTGTCCCTGGATGTTTTGTTCCTGAAGGAAAGCGTAGAGACGTTATGGGTTGCTAGCTAAGTTTGAGCAGAGAAGCACCAATGCCAGAAGAGGCTGAAAGGATATTGCAATTCTTGGAGGTGGAAGAGATGGTGACAACACAAAAGACCTTTTTGGCTTCGAAGCTTAGTCTATCAAGGACAGGTCCCACATGAGATATTGTCTAAGAAAATAAGGGCTAGTCCCTATATTAAATGTAGCAACTCTTGAGAGGAGTCTTTAGAAACCAGTAAAATAACATTGCAACATAAAGAATACTTGTACACAATACCAGTTAAGTTGCTTCTGAGGAAGTTAAGAGACGAAACCAAGCATAAGCCGGCTGCTTTGTCAAGCTCTACATTCTTTTGAAAGCTCTACATTCTTTTGACTGTTAACAGCACATGTTTTGGAATGCCACTAGTATTTTCTGGCTGTTGGCAGCAATTGATATTCAGCTGTATTACTGTGTTATTGTATAACATTCAGATATTGTTTGATTAGGTGGTATACCTTATGAATATATTGTATACTTAGATACTATAATTAAGTATAAAAGAAATTGTATTAGCATACATAACTAATGTTTATGAGTGTATTATTGGACTGATTTTGGCCCCAGTTTTGTTGTTTTTGGACAACACAAAAGATACATCTCTCTTGTTCTAAGGTAGCAATTAAGCTCTGCTGTTATACGCCTCTTGTATTATAGTGGCCTCTAGTGGTGATATGAAGAAATATGATAATTCCAGATGGGTAGTCATATTGGTCTATAGTAGCAGAATAAAGCAGGAGTCTGGTGGCACCTTCAAGACTAGATAAATTTTGTTAGTTTTTAAAGTACCACTGGACTCTTGTTTTATTTTAAAGATCTATTAGTTTGTGATAGGATTTGGAAAACCTATTTTGAGAGCTGCTATAAATGTCTGAGAGATGATGTTTGGTGTGTAGTGCTTTACTTGTGAAGGATGCAGACATTATCTGTCCACGTGTTGTGGACTGGGCATTTGACCAGGACTGGGTCCCTGGGGAGACCTGGATTAAAATCCCTGCTCAGCCAACCCACTGGTCAGTCTTGGGATGTTGCTGTTCCTCGGCCTACTCTATGTGTCTGGGCAACCAACCAACCAACCAACCAACCAACCAACCAACCAACCAACCAACCAACCAACAGCACATATCTTGAGTATTTAAAAAAAGCACTATTGATTCTGTCACTATTCTATATGATATCCCAGTGTTATCCACCCCTGGCTACAAATAGATGTCTGAGAGAGAGAGTGATACAACAACGTCACTGTGGGCCAAAGAGACCAGGAAATACATAACTGGTTCAACCTTTTTTGTTGTTGCTGTTTTAAGTTCAGAGCAGTTGCATGGAGGGAGATCAGACTGAGGAAGAAGTCTGACATAGGAAGTGTTCAATCCTTTCCTCATGTTGTTGTTCCAGTCTAAATCCTCCTCCCCCTCCCTTTCTGAGGCTGCATTTTCTCTGCCACATTTGTCCATACAGGGCAAATAGCAGCTGGGCCATTCAGGATGGGGGTAAACAACACAGGGGGGGGGAGTTTAAAATATCCAGTTCTCAGCTCCAGTTATCTAATCTAGTTCAGCCCCCCCCCCCGGGCTTTAAAAAAACGGGGAGGGCGGCCTATAAATCAAAATAATAAATAAATAAATAATATAATATAAACTTGTGGGAGCTTCAGGGATTCCCCAGTGTCTTGTTTTATCTTGAACACATGAAGCTACCATGTCCTTCTATCATGATCAGTATTGTCTATTCTGACTGATGGCAGCTCTCCAACATATCAGGCGGAGGTCTTTCACATCACCTGCTATGTGATCATTCTAGCTGCAGATGCCAGGAGGGATCAAATCGGGGGTCTTCTGCATGCAAAGGAGCAGGGCTATTTTTAGGCAGGAACGCACAGGAACGGAGTTCCGGCTGGCTCCCAAGTTGGCCACGCCCAGCAGGAACTCATTTGCATAGCAGGCCACACCCAGCAGTAGAAACTAATTAGAACTGGCTACATTAGGGGTGTGTGGCCTAACATGCAAAGGAGTTCCTGCTACAAAAAAAAAGCCCTGGGTAAACAGAATAAGAAGCAAAAGCTGGATGACCACACTTCTGGTAACATGGGAATGTGGCCTAATATGCTAATGAGTGGTGCAATCAGGGGTATGGCCTAATATGCTAATGAGTTTCTGCTGCTGGGTGTGGCCTATTATGCTAATGAGTTCCTGCTGGACTTTTTCTACCAAAAAAGCCCTGCAAAGGAGATTCTCTCCTGTTGATCTACAGCTTTTAATAAGGTCATTGCTGGAGGGAGATTTGTAACAGAAGCATCTCACTGGGGGTGGGGGAACGTTCTTTCAGCTACCTTTTCATGTCCCTTTAGTACTTCTCCTGCCACTGCTCTAGTGCTTGCGTATTTTAAAGGGGGGTGGGAATTAAAGCAAGGCTACTTCATCTCCCGCCACTGCAATTCCCCTGCAGTCTTGGGACATTGTTATTTCCTTTTCTTTACAGGATATGTGCCCCTTCATCATGCAAGTTTTATTTTTCTGATTTCATTCTAGATAACAAAGAATTTGATGCATTTGTGTCCTATGCAAAGCCAGACTTTCCTGAATCAGATCCAATGTCTCTGAGTGAGGAACAGTTTGCCTTGGAGGTTCTTCCTCAGATTTTAGAAAACAAATATGGATATAAGCTGTGTTTCATTGAACGGGACATCCTTCCAGGAGGAGGTAACACCTTATATAGCTAAATAGTAGCTACATTCTTTAAAAAAAATATTTTAATTTAGAGGTGCTAATCATAGAAATCCCACTGGTGAGATTGGCTAATTTTAGGATTCCAGGCTTTTTTTCCTGTTACCACTTTCTGTCTCAAAAATACTGGTGTATTCGCCAGCGGTTTACTGATGGATTTAGTCTTACCACTGTATGGTTTGTCCTTGTATTAAATCATGCTTAAAGGTAAGGCTGTGGTGGCTCAAGTGGTTAAGATGCTGAACTGCAGGCTGTGGAAGGTCAGTAGTTCAGCAGTTCGAGACCCGGGTTGCCACATGATGGAGTGAGCTCCCGTCTCTAGTTCCAGCTCCTGCCAACCTAGCAGTTCGAAAGCAAGAAATTGCAAGTAGATAAATAGGTACCACTTCGGTGGGAAGGTAACAGCGTTCCGTGCGCCTTGGTGTTTAGTCATGCTGGCCACATGACCACGGAAACGTCTTCGGACAGTCAGATTGAGGTGACGAGAGAGGAGGTCCTAAAACTGATAAACAACTTAAAAACTGATAAATCACCAGGCCCAGATGGCATACATCCAAGAGTTCTGAAAGAACTCAATTGTGAACTTGTGGATCTCCTGACAAAAATATGTAATCTCTCCTTAAAATCAGCCTCCATTCCTGAGGACTGGAAGGTAGCTAATGTCACTCCCATCTTTAAAAACGGTTCCAGAGGAGATTTGGGAAATTACAGGCCAGTCGGTCTGACATCGATACCTGATAAGTTGGTGGAAACTGTTGTTAAGGAAGGAATTAATAGGCACATTGATGAACACAAACTATTGAGGCAGACTCAGCATGGGTTCTGTAAGGGAAGATCTTGTCTCACTAACCTGTTAATGTTCTTTGAGGGGGTGAACAAACATGTGGACAAGGGGGATCCAATAGATATTGTTTACCTTGACTTCCAGAAAGCTTTTGATAAAGTTCCTCATCAAAGGCTCCTAAGCAAGCTCAAAAATCATGGGATAAAAGGACAAGTCCTTTTATGGATCAAAAACTGGCTAATTAATAGAAAACAGAGAGTGAGTATAAATGGGCAGTTCTCCCAGTGGAGGGGTGTAAGCAGTGGGGTACCACAGGGATCAGTACTTGGTCCACTGCTTTTTAACTTGTTCATTAATGATTTGGAGTTGGGAGTAAGCAGTGAAGTGGCTAAATTTGCGGATGATACGAAGTTGTTCAGGGTGGTGAAAACCAGTGAGGATTGTGAGGCACTCCAAAGGGATCTGTCAAAGTTGGGCGAGTGGGCGTCAACATGGCAAATGGGGTTCAATGTGGCCAAGTGCAAGGTGATGCACATTGGAGCCAAAAATCCTAACTATAAATACACGTTGATGGGGTCTGAACTGGCAGAGACAGATCAAGAGAGAGATCTTGGAGTTGTAGTAGATAACTCACTGAAAATGTCGAGACAGTGTGTGACTGCAATAAAGAAGGCCAATGCTATGCTGGGGATTATTAGGAAGGGTATTGTAAACAGATCAGCCAATATCATAATGCCGCTATATAAATCAATGGTGCGACCTCATCTGGAATACTGTGTGCAATTCTGGTCACCACACCTTAAAAAGGATATTATAGCTTTGGAAAAAGTGCAGAAAAGAGCAACTCGAATGATAAAAGGGTTGGAACACTTTCCCTATGAGGAACGGTTAAGGCGCTTAGGGCTCTTTAGCTTGGAGAAACGACGACTGAGGGGTGACATGATTGAGGTTTATAAGATTATGCATGGGAAAGAGCAGGTAGAGAAAGAGGTACTTTTCTCCCTTTCTCACAATACAAGAACCCGTGGGCACTCCATGAAATTGCTGAGCGGTCGGGTTAGAACGGATAAAAGGAAGTACTTCTTCACCCAAAGAGTGATTAACACTTGGAATTCACTGCCACAGGAAGTGGTGGCAGCTACAAGCATGGACGGCTTCAAAAGGGAATTAGATAAGCATATGGAGCAGAGGTCCATCAGTGGCTATTAGCCACAAGGTATAGATAGGGACTCTGGGGCAAGTGATGCTCTGTCATCTTGGTGCTTGGGGGGGGTCAACAGTGGGAGGGCTTCTAATGTCCTGGCCCCACTGGTGGACCTCCTGATGGCACTGGTATTTCTGGCCACTGTGGGATACAGAGTGTTGGACTGGATGGGCCTTTGGCCTGATCCAACATTGGCATCTCTTATGTTCTTATGTTCTTATGTACCTTTTTAAAGGTAAGGCAGTAGTTTTAATGCTTTTACCTGGGATGCTTGAAAAGGGTGTGTTCGCACCCATCCTCTCAAGAGGCGAACACACCCCTTTCGAGCATCCCAGGTAAAAGGCACACTGCAGCAACATTGTGGTCAAGGGAAATCCCTGAAAGCTAGGTTAGGTGGCTGGCCAGAGAGCAGCTGGTTCTGGAAACGCACCAATTGAGCTTCCTTTCTTCAGCAATGGGCGATTTTGCATTGACTTTCCCCTCTGTTGTTTTAACAACCCCAGTTTGGAACAGAAATCCCCCTCTGCGTTGCATGCTGCTTTCATTTTCTTTGATCATCAGATTTTATGGAACCTTCTGCATAGATTTATGGCCATTTTATGGCCATTCAGGGGTGACTTTGCAGTCAGTATGGTGTTGGCCCAGGGTATTTGAATGTGGTTTTGAGCTGCACCTTTTCCTTAGTGTTGAGGAAATGTGGCGCGAATGCCAGATGCAGAGTCGCCCAATGTCTCTGTCCCTGACTCCCTTCAACTACTCCGTGGGAGGAGAGGCACAATTCATCCTGCCTTCCGGAAGCAGCACCAGAGCTGCCTGGGGGAAGAGGGCTGTGTTTTGAATGCTTCCTTCCTTTCCAAACAAACATCTCAGGGGTTGGATCAGGAAGGAGGCGAGAAAGCAGTGATGATGAATGTAGGCTTTAGGTTGGGTCCTTCTCAAGCCCTGAAGACAGTGTTTGGTTCTAGGGGGAGAGAAGACAGGATGGGCTTGGGAGATCAAGCCCAACACTGTGCCCTGCAGTGCCAATAAGAGTAGTCTTGAAAACAGATGGAACCGTGGGAAGTGGACAACCATAGGAAACGTGGGTGAGGTTAGGGAAAGGATTAGAATCAATATGAGTCTCACTTGGTGGGTCTTTAGCTAGGATTCATACATAAAAAGCCAGTTCCTGCCTTTTGTCATTTGAATGCATCCTGCTTCTGAGGTGGGTGTACATCCCTAAAGAGATGGTGTGATGGTGCTTCATCCCTTCCCCTGTGTAGCTGAAGTTTCCATGACTGCTTCATAGACTCAGTGTTCTTTAGAAGAGATATAGAAGATTTGTAGTGTCTGGAAATGTTATAATTATACACATTATGACATGTAGCAGGAAGAAGGAACGGAGCAGACAAGGTCACAGGACTTTCAGAACAGCCTCATACCCAGGGTACTGGTGGAGTCCCAAGACTGCTTCTCTCTGCTAACTGCAAATTCAGAACTGCCTTTTCTCTTACACAAGCCTAATCTCAAACTGTTTCCTTCAGGCGTAGAACATTCTCTGTGTGTGGAATAGGCATACTGATTTCTCATGACCCTGCTGTTCACCATCCATTGCCAGGGTATAAAAGAACTCAAATGGAAGGAGCTATTTTGTATAATATTTGTCTAATCCATCTTGAGACTCAATGAGAAAGGCAAACCATAAGTGAAAGAAGTGAATGAATAGTAGAATATGTTAGTGATAATGATTTCTTTTCCTAGCGTACACTGATGACGTCGTGAATGCCGTCAAAAGGAGCAGACGGACAGTGGTGATCTTAAGCCCAAGCTATGTCAATGGACCTGCCATGTTTGAGCTTGAAGCAGCAGTCAAAACTGCTTTGGAATTCACAACAACAAAGCTCATTCTGGTTGAGTTCATGCCTTGCCAGGAGCCAGAGTCATTGCCTTGCAAAGTGAAGAAAGCTCTCAGGATCTTGCCCAGGATTACCTGGAAAATGTCTACCTCTCCTGCCGGTAATAAGCATTTCTGGAAAAGACTACACTATCACATGCCAGTGAAACGCATTAAAAGAACTGAGGATAAGAGCCTTCATACTTTCCTCCCTCTAGTTACTGGGCTTGATAGCAGGAGACCACCACATTAAGAAGTGCAGACGTCTTTTGAAAAGGAAAAGGGAAAAAAACCTTCCCTAAACTGAGGACTCTCCAGGGGGAGGGATAGTAGCTCAGCACTTCCAAGCACATGCTTTGTATGTAGGTTGAGTCCCTGGGTGACAAAGCTGGAGAGGATCTCAGACTGTTGGCAATAACAGTATTGGACTAGATGGACCAGTGGTCATAGTCAATATATAGCAGCTTCATACGTTCATATAAGTTTTTAAAAATTTGTCAATCTTTTGCTTATTTAGTCATAATTTACATCAAAAGGAATATATTTTTAAAAGGCATTGCTTGGTAATGTTCAAGGAGATTAATAGAGTGGTGCTGTGACATGTCTTTGCATGTAATTATCATTATCAGATTTGTTGGCTCAGGATCTGGGAAACCCAGGTTCGAGTCCCCGTCTGCCATGGAAGCTTTCTGGGTGATCTTAGGCCAGTCATACACATACTCACCCAGTCCTACCTCACAGGGTTGTTGTGAGAATAAACCTGAACAGGACTATGTAAGTTATTTTGGGGTCTCCATTGGGGAGAAAGAGGGGGTATAAACGAAGTAAAATAAATAAAACGAAATATTAAAAACAATCTCTGCAGTCGTGCACCATTCTTCGAGGTTGTGAATGTGGATGGTTGTTTGGGAGAAGGGATGTGACCTCTGAACGACTGGCCTCTCTAATCTGTTGCTCCACCCCACCCCCCACCCCCCACTGCACAAGCAACAGGCTTCTGGGTGCTCTGGTGCTCTATTGAGAGTGATGGATGCAGAGGCTCTTCTCCTATGAAACACAGTTAACCCTGAGGTGGGTGAAGTTAGCCGTACGTTCAAGTGCGTGGACTGATGAATAAAGCAACCCGCACAAAGGGATAGTGGCTGGGCTGGTGATTTCAAGTCCCCATGGACTCCAGGTAGGATGTTCCCCTGTCCCCAAAGTGTGATACAAACCGCTATAACACTGTGGTTATGTTCCTGAAAAGAGAATGGTAAGTGAAACAGCTCCATAAGAGGAACTGATAATGTTGGATCTAAGAGGGATGAAGCTGTTAAAGGCTTTCTAGTCCTTGGATCCATCCTCAACCAAAATGGAGATTGGAACAAAGAAATAAGAAGGAGACTGAAACTGGGGAGGGCAGCCATGAAGGAGCTGGAAAAGATTTAGGATGTGTCACTGGTGGCGAAGATCAAGATGATTCAAGCCATAGTACTCCCCATTACTATGTATGGGTGTCAGAGGTCATTTCGGGGGGGATCGCAGGGGATCGCAGTTCCCCCGGGTGAGGTATGGGGGCGGGGCACATGACGAAGCCCCGCCCCTGCTTCCGGCCCTCATTCAGCCAGGAGGAGGCAGGAGAAGAGGGAGGGTAAGTTGCTTCCTCCCTGCCTCTCCCCACCCCTGCCTGCCTGGGGCCAGGGAGGGCCTTTGTGGGGCTTCCTTGCACTCCTGACGGCCTTGCAGGTCCACCGCCGGGCCCCTCATGGGGCTCGGCAGTGGAGCTGCAAGGCTGGCGGCGGCCGGGACCGTTGGGGGCGGGGTGTGTGGCCTTATGGCACACTTCCGGTGATGTCAGGGGGTGTGGCATATGCTAATGAGTTATGCTAATGAGTTCCCCTACCTCTTTTTCTACGAAACGACCCCTGATGGGTGTGAAGATGGGACAGTGAAGAAAGCTGACAGGAAGAAAGTTGATTCACTTGAAACGTGTTGCAGTATAGTTTTATGGATAGTGTGGACTGCCCAAAAAGACAAAGTGGGTTCTAGATTGAATCAAGCCTGAGCTCTCCCTAGAAGCTAAAATGATTGATACCAGCACAGCACCTCTGGTTGTCACCTACAGCTCCAAGCTCAAACCAGTTCAGCACATCATGAGGATATTTCTCTCTTGCAGGCCTTGGGAGGGGGAGTCTTTTCTTGATGAAAGCAGTCCCCCTAACCTAAAACAGCTTCCTAACAACAATGAGGCAATCCAGACCCTATGACAAAGCAAGACGCCAACTTTGTCCACACATATACCCATGCAGTACTATTCAGGACTGGCAATACAATCTTGGGCTGATCCACTTGCTCATCTTCCAATGCAATATGTACCATCACATGTCAACAGTGCCTTCTGTCATGTGAAAGAATGAATGGGAATTGCAGTACTGAAAAAAAACTGGCAGGGGGACGTGCCATTCTCCCAGGACACTCTGTTACTGCTCCAAAAGTCCCCGTTATTCAACAAAAGACCCTCAAAGGGAGATTCCAGTGTGAAAGGGCTGGATTGGGTTTCATTAAGAGGTCCCCATGCCCAGGACTGAGCTGGAACTCGGAATTTCTGCATCACTATGGCAGCTATACCTAACAAAACCAGGGACTCCCAGCCCCATTACACATGGTTAACTTGTGGATGGCTCCTTTATTCTTTTCTTTTTATGTGGTGATGCTTTGTCTTTGTGCTTCTTGCATTCTATATCCCCTTGACCCTGCTGTTTGTTTCCCCCCCCCACACACACACACTCATCTCCTCCATGAAATGAAAGCATAGTGAAGATCCATTCATAGCATCTGAAGAAGGGGGCTCTAGCCCATGAAACCTTAATCTGGAATATGATTTTGTTAGACTTTATATGGCACCTGCTTATCTCCTAGAGTAGCAAAGTAAAACTCAGTTGTAACACTTGTTGGTGGCCACTAGATGCCTCTGCCGTACTTGATATTTACATATGTACTAGTAAACTACAAAGTCACAACTCAACTCAGGTAAATCAGGAGCAAAGAAGAAGTCCAGAAGATAGAGGTGTGGAACAAGTCGCTTGATAGCCTTGGAACTGAGTGAGTCTTTTGCATGAGGACAGTCTAAAAGAAGAAGGTGTTGAGCCTGATGCTGTATTTCTTTCCTTCCAAACGGAGTGAGAGACTGGTTCATGCTTAGATTGTAGAAGTTTGCCAAGTACCTGGCTTCTTTTTCAGATTGAGTTCAGTTTTCATAGCATGAAATGGAAGCAACTGAGCACGGACTGCCAAAGCAGATACCCCCATCAGTCTCCTGCAAGATCCGTAAGAACCCAGGACTAAAACGGGGATTGAACAGCAGGAAAATAAAGCTCTAAGCGCATGCGTACAGCATGTGCTTCATACAGAAGCTGAAACAGTTATTCTGCTCAGCATGGGAATTCGAGTGCTTGTGTGTCTGAATGTTCTGAGTTGGCTGCTGTTCCCTTCCATCAAGGAGGGCTCTTTTGCTGCGGCATCTTCGGGTCTGCCTCGTGGTAATTCTACCGCTTCTTATGGGCCCGGCCCGGTGGATGCCGCTGAATCGGGACGAGATGAGAAACTTCATATCTTCACAGTTGATTATGAATACGTGCATATCCCTTACCAAGTCACTCTTTGGATACTGCTGGCTTCCCTTGCCAAAATAGGTGAGTAGAATATCTGACGCTC